TTAACCATGCTGGTATGTCCTCGCAACCCACCTGATATCACTGGCTGGACACTGTTAAGAACCATGGTGATGGCTAGAATGAATGCTAGTTTGGAGGTAGCTACTTGCATCTCCTTGTTGCTTGTGAAGATGTAGGCAAAATAGTCCTTGGCTACCAACACAACAGCCATCAGAATGAGCCCAATCACAAGTGACTGAAACACAGTCACCATGACCGAGTATTTTACAGCTCTTGGATGCCCCAATCCAAGCTCATTCGAGACACGAACGCTGAAATTAATTAATTAATTAATTAATATATATACATTCATTTAAGCTGAAATCATAATCATACACTCCATCGAGATAACATATCAAGGATCTCGAAATCAATTAATTAAAACAGGCAGAAGTTGAACTGTCTAATGCACTGTATCTTGCAAACTCTGAAATTAAATGTTATAGAAGGGGTGATCTCCTGGAATTTTCATGCATCCCAACCCTTATGTAAGCTCCTAGAAGTGAATACTCACCCATGGATGATGTCCAGCAGTGTGTACGCAACCAAAAAAAAAAAAAAAAACAGAGAAAAGAGCACCGATGGATACACCCATGAGACAGGCAAGTAGAATCCATATTCATAATCATAGATGATTGATTATCACCAGAATTTAGCAAATGCAAATACATATTGAAATTAATTTTACCTTATAGCAGCATTTATTCCAAGGAACAACATTAGTTCAATGCCGTTGATATTCAAGCTGAAACATATACAATTCAGAAGATTAACAACAAGTTAAAATGAAGCTAAGATTGATTAATAATTAATTGATATAACAATGATTAGGATGATGATGAATGACTGACCAGATGGTAAGGGCACCAACAGCAATGACTGCGTTACTAAGATGTCCAGTGAGAATAACAATACTCATCATATACCAGAGCTCCAGGCAAAGCATGACAGCTGAAGCTAGTGAGAGGGTGACGAAGGACCAAATATCCTTAAATGCAGCCCAGGAAAACCCACGCCATCCTTCCTTACACCAGCCCATCACGTACACAGCTTGAGCCAGAGCAACTGACCATCCAGTGAGGTCTAAAGCGATTGCTGCGCCAGTGGCACCCCAACCAAGCTTATAGATGAAGAGCCAAAGCCAAAAAGCGTGTAGAAGGAGAGTCGAAAAGGCAATCCAGGCAAGCACTCCAACCTTGCGTTGAGCTTGAAGGAACTTTTGGGTAGGGAAATAGATAGCCAGTGAAAACAAATTAGGTATGCCTACGATGGTGAATTTTCCTGCCAGGTCAGAAAGATCATCTTCTTGGCCAATGGCTTTGAGGATAGGAGCGGAAAAAATGTAAACGGGCAAGAGGACGACACAACTGACGAATAAGATGATGGCTGATCTTTGCAAGTAAACACCGAGCATATGAACTTGACCAGCACCAAAAGCTTGACCACAGAGGGTCTCGAGGGCACTGCCCATACCAAGAAGGAAGCCGAAAGCGAAGGTCACGATGACAGAGAGGGAAACAGAAACGGCAGAGAGTTGCAAGTTTCCAAGATGGCCAACAAAGATAGAGGTTAAAGTGTTGGTACCATACTGACAGAGTAGAGTGATGGCAATAGGACCGCCAATCTTCCATAACTTAACAGTCTCTTTCCAAAATACGAACTTCATAAAGTCTTTGAAAGTCTCGGAAACTGCAGGTGGGTAGTCTCCTTCTGCTTCTGCTTCTTGTGGTGCTACTGGTGCAGGTAATGGTGACGAAGACGAAGACGAAGACGAAGAAGATCCATAATTGAGCTGCAGAAGTGGTGTCGTGCTCTCCATATTAAGGATATATATATAATCTTCTTCTTAAAAATATTTATCAAGAAAGACAGAAACACAAAACTTCCATATCACTCATTTCCTTGATATTGTTACCATATATATATATATATATATATATAGAGAGAGAGAGAGAGAGAGAGAGTTGAAAGTTAGGTTGGACGAAACTAGTTAAGGACTTTGTATGATATTTATTTTGCTTTGGACAGTAGTGATCAGCAGCAGGCAACAGCTTGTGTCTGTTTGTCCGGAATGATCTCAATAGAAAACGTTATATATTTATATTCATGAGGAGGAAGGATGAAGATGGAGATGGAGCAGAGTGCTAGTGGTTTGTTGTATCAGTAACTGTGGTTCTATGTGGAACTGGAACCAGTTGGGGGTCACAGCGATGAAGGAGCGACCAGTCAAACCGGCAGTCTATTCTTGGAATGGAAATAATGTTTTGTCTGTTTGTCCATTGTATCCATGGAAGTGGAGTAGCGACCACCTATTTGGATTATTAGAGTTTATTTATTGGCCTTGTTAGTGGTTTTTTGTTTTTTTTAAATATATACTGAAATGATATATGTTTTTATTATTTTTTAAAATTATTTTTTAATATCAATATATTCAAATAATATAGAATATTAAAAAATAATAATGTTTTTTAAAAGTTTTTAAAAAGCAAAGGAAAAAAATCGCTCGTAACTAACGTTCCGTTCCATCAAAGCCATGACATGCATGTTCTCGTACGTGCCACTCCCACTCATCAGTCAACACACAACGAATTTTCCTTTCCTTTGACATAATGTTTGCATTCAGGGTCGGATCGTCAGAGAGTAGAAATCCTTATGGTAAGATTAGATCTTGCCTGAGAAAACAAGTTAGGAATGGCTTCTTCTTCTTCTGTTGTTTTTTTAACTGTCCTTGCGTTCATCCTCATTAGGTTTCAAGTTAGGAATGGCTTCTTCTTCTGTTTTTTTTGAACTGTCCTTGCGTTCATCCTTGGGCATGGGATAAAAGCTAGGCCTTGGGTACTTCGAGAAGGGGGAAGTATACCTGTCATCATTGCCATTAAAAACTGGATAGCATACCACGATCAGTATAATCAAGCAAAACATCCAAAGATGGATTGCTTGTGAAAGCACCGTCCATGCATGTAGAAGATAGATTCAACATTCCAGTTCATTTCAATGCAATCTTCCTTCATCCAACAGAGCTTCGTTTCCTGTCTTGCATCTATGGAAGAAGCCTCTGTAAATCCCACCGTCAGACAATGAATTGAATTCAGCTTCCAGTGTTGATGTCTTTGTGGAGTTTCTGACTCTATTCAGAAGGAGATCTTCATGGGGCTTATGGGCCACGAACTGGCACCGGCTAGACATGCTTGGTCGCATTGTGCTCCAATTACAGTAGTTGGAACTACAGCTACCCACCTTGTATATGTGTGTGCGTGTCCTAAAATCATAAATGGGCCATCCATTGTTTATATTATAGGAGGTATTGTTTAGCCCAATATTCTCTCAGGTTAATCTTTACTTACTCAGCCCAAATCGTCCATCAAACTCAGCCCATGTCTACTCCACTCTGAACCCTGAAGTTCATCTTTAAAATACACAAAACCCTAACCTCAAACTGCTAGCTATCCTCTCTTAAACCCTAAATCACACGCGTACTGCTTGTTCACACTGCACTGATCTGATAGTGATAACCAACAACAGCCTGCAGGTTTACCTCCCCCTTCTCAACTGTCACCGTCTGTCCATTATGGAAGCCCTTCCAACACCATCTGGTTTTAGCCCCAAAACCGTGGAGAAAGCTGTGAACGCTCTTCTCAAATGGAGATCATCCAAATTGAATACCCAAAAGCCTCAACTACTGGAACATGACGAGTTTGTCTACCTTATCTTAACCCTCAAAAAGATCCCACATAAGGGTGTCAGCCGCATCAACGCCTACAAAATCCCTCTCCCTTGCCCCTTAACCAACCCTCTAACTGAAGCCCCTGAGCTCTGCTTAATCATCGATGACAGATCCAAATCAGGCCTCAATAAAGATGCTGCCAAGAAGAAGATTCAAAACGACAACTTACCCATCTCCAAAATCATCAAGGTTTCCAAGCTCAAGACTGATTACCGTCCCTTTGAGGCCAAGAGGAAACTCTGTGATTCTTATGATATGTTCTTTGCTGATAAAAGGGTGGTTCCTCTCTTGCCTAAGATGTTAGGGAAACAGTTTTTTAAGAAGAAGAAGATTCCGATGACTTTGGATTTGAAGCACCAAAATTGGAAGGAGCAGATTGACAAGGCGTGTGCGTCTGCCTTGTTGTTCCTGAGGACTGGAACTTGTAGTGTGGTGAAGGTAGGGAGGGTTTCGATGAGTAGAGAGGAGATTTCCAAAAATGTGATGGCTGCTATTAACGGGATCGCGGAGACTGTGCCCAGGAAGTGGGGTGGTATTAGGTCTTTCCATTTGAAGTTGCTTGATAGCCTGGCTTTGCCTGTTTATCAGGCAGTTCCTGATTTGAAGTTGAAGATTGATGGTAGTGCAAAAGAGCAGGAGGAGGATGATGTGGTCGCTGAGGAGGAAGATAAGGTTAAAGAGGGGAAAATTGGGAAAAAGAAGGGAAGGATACATGAGGTTAGATATATGGATAATAACGATGATGGTCGGGTTGTTGATGAGGATGAATTGGGGAGCGACTTTGAAGGGGATATTGATAACCATGCTGATGATGATGTTGAAAAGGACAGTGATGAATTATTGAATAAGAAGAGAAAGATGGGAGATAATAAAGGGAAAGGTCAGAAGAAGGTAGCTAAATTGAAGAAAGAAGATGGTTTCAAGCAAAAGAAAGCAAAGAATGAAGATGCTACCAAGCAAAAGACGATAAAGAAAAATGCTTTGGCTTTAGAGAGTGGGGGAATGCAAGTGAAGGATAACAAGAAGAAGAAAAGATTGGCTGCATAATGATTGAATGCCGCTTCCTGGAGAGTACACACAAGGAAATTTGCTGCTTGCTTAACTTGGAGAGAATCAGTTCATGGTTGTATGCCTGTCCTTTTAGCAGATTTGGTGTGAGATTTTAATTATGGTATTCATGATGTGAACTTTTTTTTTAGTTTATTTATAATCAGAAATTTAATATGAAAGTTTTTTCTCTCCTTAATTATGTTTCTTGATTATGGAGAACAGATAGAATGGTAATTTGATAGTCAGTCTTTCATTGGATAGAGTTCAAATTTACTTTATTATCTCCTAAATTGCAAGTTTTCTGCATCATGGGTGGAATCCAGTTTGAGTTCAAATGTTGCACAAACTAGAATTAGGCTTATTCATTTATACTGATATTTCAACTTGGTGGTTCCATATGTTGGCCTGCAAGCAAACTGGAAGTAGTTGGTCGTCTGATATGAATTGTGTCAGACATACTTACGGCTTGGATAGGGAACTTGCTCCTAACATGCAGTGTTGCGAACTTGCAGAATACCGGTTTCTGAGAAAATTGTGAGCCATAGGAGCCTGAAAAAATGACATGTAGCTAGGAGGCAAAAAAATAGAAAAGAAAAAAAGCTTACCGAGGAGAGGGATTTTTGAGATGGGATCCTATAGTGTCAAAGCAGCTCTGCACTTGAAGACTGATCCTATTCGATCTGATTGTTCTAGATGCTGTCAATCTCTAATTTGATTGTCTTAATTCTCAAAAGATTGCATGCTGTCCCTGCTAATTGCTTTTTGAATGAGCTAATTAGGATTTGAGTGTGCTGTGATTGGATACAAGCAGGGTCAAATTGAAATTTAAGGTTTTCATTTGCCCCTTTTTATCTTCTTAAAAAGAGCTTTATAGGAGATTTGAGCTATTCTCCACTTCACACGATGTTTCTGCCAACGGATATCCATACAAATCCGGGGTATTCTGAGAGTATCCATGCTTCCTAGGTAGATATCCATGCAAACACGCAAGCAAGCAAATGCATTTGCCAAAGGACTTCATGGCAGCACAAGAAAATTACGGAGCATAGAAAAAGGTGTTCAGACATGAACCTATACATTCCTTTTGATTGTACACAATATATACACTCTCAAAGGCATGAGCTAGCATAGCAAGATATTTCTCACTTCACTGTACCAACTCGAAATTTGGGAATGCATTTTCAAAACCAAGCTTCAACCACCACGCTCCAAGTCATGTAGCGGGATCTTGTTACTCTTCATTGGCTGAAGCTGATGGCTCTGATGTGGAAGAATCTTTCCTCCATTGCAGATGGGAGCTGGTAGAATACGGCATCTTGACAATAGCTTTCTTGTTGATGCAAGATGATAGTGCTCGAGATGGCTTCCCAGCAAGCTGGGCCATTGCAGATGTTGATTCTGCCTTCCTTGAAACCTACATGGTAAATATGTCAACTTAAAGAGTAGTTCAATGTATACAATTCTGAATTCCTAGTCTCTGATATAACATTAGAAAACAGATGAAATCATTACTGATATGATTGGAACCAGATTGAAGATAGGGGCACGGGGACGGGCACAGCCACAGGCAAAAGATTATTTCATTATTTTTTGCATTATTCACAAAGATTATTTCACGACAGGGCAACCCAAAAATACAGGGCCAGTTTACGTCACACAACTTGTTTCAAATTTTTTAACCCCCAATTAGATCTAAAGTTTGTGTGCTTTGGTTTGTTTTTCTGCATCCAATTGAAGATAGGGGCTCTCTCTCTCACACACACACGCACCCACCAAGGCACAGGCACCTGCATAAATACTCAACAAAGGAAACAACAAGTTAAATGAAAGTGGAGAGAACAAAAAATGGCTGTGTAAAACATTGTAACTAGGACGTCCAAACATGTAATGGACGATTAAAAAAATAAAACTAAAGTGCAACTATTGGAAAAGTAGGGAGCAAAAAATTGCATGAGATAACTCTGCAACCCCAAACAAAGTCCAAGTGTTTTTTTAATTTGAATGCAGAGCAGAACATCCAGCACTTCACAACTTCCTACTTTCCATGTCAAATATGGCAAATTCTCTAAACAAGCCATTCCAGGTTTTCACTCACTTAATTTTTTAATTTGTGTGGCTGTAATGCACCACGGATATATTTATCTGCTATAAGATATAAATGATCACTTACTTTCAAAGTCCCAGAAAAAAATGTTGCACCACTCAATGCCACTGCTTTCTCAGCAGAATCCTTGCTAGCAAAGGCAACATAAGCAGATCTAAAAGAAGAATATAAAATACAGTCAACCGATATAGTCTCAAAATAATATATATCAGACTATAGATCCTGTTAATCAGAAAAATAACATGGCTGAAATTTGATGTCTACCCCTTTCTCTGGCCAGTGGTTTTGTCAGTCAAGATCACTACATTCTCAACCACTCCACAATTGGCAAAGCACAATGATAGAGCTTCTTTTGTTGCTGCAAAATGTACCTGTGTGTTTATAGTAGAGCAATATCATAATTATGAGACATCCTGAAGTCTATGCGGAGACTTTTAGGAAACAACACACAGAGATAAGTTCAGAGTATCAATATATTTCTGAATTGGTAACATTTCTAAATTTGTAATGCAGAAAATGCTCTCATGGTAATCTGGTGCGAGTAAAAATAATTTCAGAAAGAAAAGACAGCCGCAGAAGAACAAGAAAAAAAATACTTTCAGAAAGAAGAAGAGGAAGGCAATATTCATTAACACTTTCCAAGTAAGGCATGGCTAAGCTGCTGTCTTCCACTATCTACACGTTAAACTCTGTTGCTTATTGGGCTTGGAAACATTTCAGATCTTGTACATATTAGAAAAGAAGCTGATAAGCAGAAATTATGGACTTTGATTCCCTAAATTCTGGTAAAAAATATGCACAGAAAAGAAAGAAGGGATTGAAACTTCCTGTAGATTCAGCAACTGAAAGTATTTGTGACTTTGCTAATATGAGCCAAAAAACAACATTCTGAAAATGAATCAATGCTAACATTTAAAACACCCATGACTTGTCAGTAAACAATGCAACACAGAAGAAGAGAAAGAAAGCAAAACATTTGAATTGACTTATTTAAAATGATTGTACTAAATTAATATAAGACCACATCGTTCATGAGGATACAAGTTGCATCACCAATGCAGAATTAATTCGAATGGAAATTCAGAAATGGTGTTCATTTATTTCCTAATCTATGAAATGTGTTCATTCTTTATTCATGTTAGATCCCAGATTGCTCCTAAGGAAAAGAAAGTGCAGCATACACAGGTCAAAAAGTTCAGGTTCCCCTCTTCAAAATTAATCAGCTTCCACTCTCCATTCTCCTTTCCTTTCTTACAAAGACAGGCATCTATGCCATTTTCATTGCCCTATCTCTGTGCATAGTCTTTTTTTTTTCTTTTTTTCTTTGAGGTGCCATGAAAAGTCTCTGTGTGTGTGGTGCAGGAGAAGTGATCAAGTTATGGAAATAACCTACCGGAACGTGACAGTAAATTGGACTTTCCATATTTCTCCATCTCAATTTGCTTTGACCGAAGCTTAGACGTTTCCAATTCAATTTTATGTAGCTTCTGTTTCACATCTAGCACTTCCTGCAAAACAAAAGGCTTCCAAAGCTTCGACACACTGATCACATGTTCTCAACGTATTTTAGGGGAGTGAGATAAGAAGGAAATCAACTTTTTAATAAGATCAACTCTGTCACTGCCCAAAATAGAAAAGTAAAATCCTCTCTTAGTTGTTGTTTCCCATAGCCTAAAGCCAGACCTTAACACTCATGCAGCATTTATCACCAATTAGCAATGGTTTTGAAGACAGTAACACACCGAGATCAAATTTGGAGTAGCTTTAGAATCTTCTTTTATCATATTTGACCTTTTAGAAAATTGTGAAAAATCTAGGCACTGAAGCTCCTTCCTGCTACAGCCAGCCAAAGCATCCTGGTCAGTACAAATTTCCCCGAAGTGTCTTTTTCGTCTAATATTATTAGCAGCATGAGCTTCGTGCATCGTTCTCGTTGGTCTCTCCAATTTCCTGCTCTCAGGCTGGATGTTACCACGGCCAGTAACTCCTCCAGTCATACTCCCTCTAAGTTCACTATTTGAAACAGGAAGCACCGCTTTTTGTTGGTTAAGCAATTCCTGCTTTTGAATCACTGTACCCAAACCGTCACACAGCTCAACAGTTTTGACCCCTGGAGGTACACCATCACATGGCTTTCCCAATCTATCCCAAACACTAATACAATGTTTTTCCTTCTGGTGGGACTCTGCATGAACAAATCTTGGAAAAGGACATTTTCCTGAAAAAATAGTTGAAAAATTGTCCACACGTGAACATAGTAGATGAAGAAAATGATCATGCATTTAAACACACTTCACCGATGAGCAAGAAAACGTAAAAGCATGAAAGATTAAACATTTACGCATTTTGCATAATCACAATGAATGCAAATGTCAGCACAGTAATCTTTGAGCTATCTTCCTACTGTTCATGTCAACCACAGATCATCTAGTTATTGCATACAAGATGGCATATAAATTGGCTTCATATGTGGCACCTGATGTGGAGGGTTGTGGATTTCTAAAAGCTGGTTCCCTTCTGGGTATAAGCTGATTAAATAGCATGTTGCAGCTACTATGGATGATCTGCTGTACAATGAGGCAATGCTCAAGTTAAACTAGAAACTGTAGAGAAGAAGCCAGAAAAGCCAAATAAAAGATGTGGCTACACCAACCTTCATTGCTTTATCAATACACTGAGAATTTTGCTTTGCATTGGAAGAGCTTTCTTTCCTAAAGATTCATTTGCCAAGGAATTATAAAGAACATTCTCAGAAGCACCAATCTTTCCGTGACACTCAGTCTTGCAAGACCGTGACAATACTTTCTTTGAATTGATCTCAGATGACAGAGAAGAAGAACTTTGAACTTGTTCAAAGTCTTCAGTAAGTTGACTGTGATTGACATTACAGAAGTTGGGATCAGAAGTAGTTGGCAACAGGCGCATCTGATCATCTTTGATCTGCAATTAGGAAAAAATATCAAATCAAATTCCACTACTTGGATTCACGCATGATGATTAAACACATAGATTATGTAATACAAGTGCGATTACCTCAAAAACATCCATAGTGCTACTATCATGGCCATGACTCTGAAAGTCCTTTAATTTGTTGATCTTGGAATCCTTCGCGCATGGAGTGGTGATATTGACATTCTTTGCATCCGATAATAAACAAATATCCTTGTTGGACTGATGGACATATTTCAAAAGAAGATCCCACAACCTTTACAGAAAACATAATAAGGGGAAACGTATGAGCAACTTTACAGCAATTTGGCGCTAAGAAAAGAAAATATAACAACGAATACGGCTAATCTAACGAAAGCTAAAGTAAATAAAAATCATTCTTTTCCTGGATTGCTCAAAACAATGCATTATTGACAATGTGGCTGCTCTATCTTTAACACAAGCGTCACAATTGATAATTGTTTTGAGGTTATAGGACTAATAAGTTACCGTCTTAATCGAAATTGAAGCAATTAGAGATTTAAGCAGTAAAAATGAAATTAAAACAAGTAGAAAGGGTGGTTTAGAATTACCAAGAGACAAACTCCTGAGTCCTTTGACCAAGAAATGCTTCGAGATCGTCTCTGGCCTGCTCTTGATTCTTCCCATTACAAACAAGCACTGTAATATACTCCTGGAAGAAGAAGAAGACCACCATTATAATTTTCATTTTGATTTTTAATAAAAGAAAAAGGAAGACAAAGTTGTAAAGTCAGGTTTGTAAGCGGATAGAAGCACAAAACAATGATGATACTAAAAAAAAAAAAAAAGGAAGGAAAATGCAATTAAATTGATAGAACGTAGAAGGAGAAGAGAACTGGTTACAATGGATGAGAGAAAAAAAGAGAAAGAAAAAGAGTAGGAATTACAGCAAGGACACGGTCGTGGGAGTAAGAGTGACGGAGATGTTTGGAAATGGAAGATTTAAGCTTGGAAGCCAATGCTGACTTTCTCTTCGACTTGAATGAAGTTGAAGTTGAAGCTGCTGCTGCTGCATCATGATCTTGTGCCGATATTACGCCGATTCCACCCATTCCTTATTTAATTATTTACTTTTTTACCAGAGAAGCGGAGGAGTAGCGATTTCAGAAGCGTATTAGCTGCTCCACTCCACTATTCTCTATACTGCTACAGCGAGTTCTCACATACCGCCGTCGGCGCCACTTCTTGTTTTTCTTTCTATTTCTAATCAGTAACCAAAACAAAAGCGTTCCTTGTCAGTTAGTTATTTCTTTGTTATTACGCAGTTGGGGAGGGGAGAGAGAGAGGGGTTGTTTTCGCTCTTCACACACTCCTCGAAACTGATGAAAACATTTCCCCTCTTTCTATGATTTTGCCTTTGCGTTTCCAGAATCTCCCTTTTTTTTTAATTTCTTGAGAATGACTGACTGCAACCACCTGAATTTCATTTTCTTTCATTGGGTTGAACCGCACAGCTCTGTGCTCTCACCGCATGGAAAGGGATGGGCCACGCTCTTAGATTTGGTTTGGTGGGTGCCCAATGGATTGAGCACAGAACTTTCCCCTATGTTGGACCCAAATGAGATTTTCATCCATCCATCTACTTCTTGGGCTAGAATGCTTTGATCCATACAAACATTTACACCCAAGCAAGTTGGCCCAAGAAATGATCGCCTACATGGAATTCTTTTTCTTTTCTTTTCTTTTTTCCTAATAATTTGTTCTCTAGTTATTAAGTTGGAATGCGCATGAACTAGTATCTCCATGTTTTTCTTGTATAATTCTTCTTCTTCTTCTTTTTATCATTAATGACAAACTCATTAGTGAGGATCAAACTTATTTATTTTAATGAATACAAAACATTCTGACCTTTATATTAATTGTAGATCAATTTACGCTGTTATACTTGTTTTAAGTTATAGAGTTTTAACAACCCACCACATATATCTGTTTAATTCAAATTCTTATTATTTGATTATTTTTTTTATTAACTCAGAGACTTGAAACGTCAACCAAGAACAAGAAAGAAGCTTTTTAAAGGTATATATATGTTTATTATAGGCAGAAAGAAAAGGCCCAGAATCCTTTGCTTTTGTGTTTGGAATTGTGTCTTGTTACATCTTAAGAGTGTATTTTAATTAAAAAACATTAATTTAATTTTTCTAGCATTTTCTAATAATTTTGGAGTATTAATATTAAGAATAAAATAAAAATACATGAAAAACTTATTTATATATAAAAAATGTCCTTAAAAACCATAAACTCATGATATCCGTTGAGATGTAATATATTATTTTCATCATATCTTTAGAAAAGATGCGGTGTTGTTATTGATATTATTAATAGCAGCATGACAGTACGAGATCTCTGCAAAGAGGAGAAGCTAGAAGGCGTACTGTGAATGACATAGCCGTTGGAGAAATTTGAATTTAAAAGAAGAGAGAGAAAGATTCGAGAATAAATGGTTGTTGTTGTTATTATTATACTATACTATCTCCCTTATGATAAAAACAAAAAGATAAAAGAAATGGGCGGGTGGTCAGAAGAAAAGCAGACAGTTAAGACAACCAAACAGCACCCTCCAATCCATCATCCAACGGCTATTTGTGCCTCTTCTCTTTTCTCTCCCCCGGTCTAACGGCTTTTTTTTAAATGCGTGAAAGTGAGGTAGTTAGGTGGTTTTTTAAAATTTTTTTTAATGCGTGGAAGTGAGGTAGTTAGGTGGTTTTTTAAAATATTTTTTATTTAAAAATATATTAAAATACTTTTTTAAAATATTTTTTATATTAACATCAAAACAATAAAAAATACATAAAAAATAATTTAAAAAATTTAAATTTTTAAAAATTACATTCCCATATTTTATTGTTATGCGTGTTTTAATAGTATTTTTAAAAAAATTTAAAAAATTATTTATTTTTAATTTATTTTACATTAATATATTTTTAGTTTTTTTCAAATAAATTATTTTGATGTATTAATATTAAAAATTATTTTTTTAAAATAAAAAATATAATTATTATATATTTTAATATAAAAAATTATTTAAAAAATAACTGTAATTATATTATATTATATCATAATTGTTTTTATATTTTAAAAATATTTTAAAAAATTAATTTTTTTAATGTTTTTGGATTATATTATATCATAATTCATAAAATTATTTTAATATTTTTTTTAAATACAATGAAAAAACTACAGCACGTCCAAATAAAATAGTAGCATACCACAACTTTATTCTTTCTCTCACATGTCTGCCTCCGCTTCTCCCTCAAAAATTTGAAATGTTTTTGTGTGTCTCTCTCTCTAATCTCTGGACCATTAATTATTATTATAAATCCAAAAGGCAGGTACTTTTGAAAATGCTGTTGTTTCTTTCTTGGACAACGATCCCCCCCCTCTCTCTCTCGATTTGTAAAACTTGAAATAATAGATTTAAGAGAGAGAGAGAGACCAAGAGTGGGTGGATCTTCGTCTCACTATGTCTTCTCTTTCATTTCACTCAGTCATGCATTCAAATAAAATCCCTTCGCTACTCTAGCAGCGCTAGTAATCCTAGCTCCTCCTCCTCCTGTTCTTTACATACCCTCAAACCCTAAAACCTTCTCTTTTACTCCACACCAGTTCTTTCTCTGTTCCATTCCCTCACCAATACAATAACACTATGGGTGCTTGTTTTAGCAAGAAAAATACTGAAGTTTCCTCTTCTCCTTTGAAAGCAGCTGCGGCTCCTGCTTCACAACCAGTTCTAAATCACCCACATAATAATAACCATGCCACTCTCAAAGTAGATCAGAAGAATGAGATCACAATCAAGAACAAGATAGTGGAGCAAAAGGAGGTGGTCAACAAACAAGTCGAAGAAGAAGAGGAAGAAGAAGACAGCTTACTCAAGAAAGAAATTTTTGTCATCAAACACAGGAAGAGCCATGATAGAGACAAACGCATCCCTCCTCCCAACGACGATGGTCCTGCTGCCACCACTAATGCATCTGCTGCTGCTGGCGAAATATTATTGGCCAACAGCAACACCAATTCTGGTGTTAATAATATGGTTGTCAGAACATCAAGCTGCACAAAAGAAGAGGTAGATGCCATTCTCATACAGTGTGGAAGGCTTAGTCGCAGCAACTCCTCTGGAGCTGGAAAGCCTCTTTCTTCTGGCAGAAAGTATTCTGGCTCTAAGAGGAGTTATGACTTTGATAATAATAATGACCAGGACCAAGATGTCAAGCCTGCCACTTCTGCCGACTATGATTCTAGAAGGAAGGGCAATGACGACGACGAGGGCGAGGTTACAGCGGAGAGAAGGCAGCACCGCCAACGCCACCGCCAACGCCAATCCAGCAGGCCTTCTGCTTCTCCTTCTGCTCAAGGGAGGAGAAGGACACCCAGCAGGGAAAGAGACCAGAACCAGCGCTCCGGAAGCAGAGAGAGGGCCAGTGGCAGCAGTGGGAGAAGGGTGAGTCGATCACCGGGTAGAAGATCAGAAATAGCCCAAAATACAAGCATTACTCCTGGAAATCCTAATGCTACTATTCCTGCTAACAATACTGGTGGTACTGGTAACAGGCCTGGAAAAATGGTATCAGTCCCTGCCACTGTTTCTTCTTTAGTGATGGATAAAAGCAACAACATTGGAGCTGAACCGCAAGCAACAGCTGGAACTAAGCGCATCTCAGTGAAGAGAAATGTTGGTGAGGCAGCGGTGGCAGGCTCCAGGACAGCTGCATCCCCACGCTCCCAATCTCCTGCCAGAGCCAATGCTAAGACTTCTAATGAGAATAATCAGCAGCCATGTCTTAGCCGCAGCAATTCAAGAAAAGCAGACCAATCTCCTTACAGAAGAAACCCATTGAGTGAAATTGACCCCAATTCATTACAGCATTCACAACCATCTGGCAACAACAAGGCTACCTGCACCAGCAACAACAGATCACAAATCAGAAACAAAGATATTGAAGGACAAGCGGTGGCCAAGGAAACTTTCAATCCTCTTAATCAGGTAATAGTTTTTTACTAGAGGAGGAGGGTTCTATCCACTATGCATGGTTCTTTGTAACCTCTAGTTTGATCCGGCGAATCACATTAAATGAATCCGCTAATAATGGTTACAGATTTGGTCAAGATGAAGAAACTTCTAATTTCATAGCCACCCATGGTTATTTTTACCAATTGATCTTTCAATACCCTAGTTTTAACAACTCCCGTTTAAATGGTTTCAATTTTAACCAATCTGTAATTGATAGTCAAGGTCGTGTAATTAATATCTAAATTCATATTATTGAAGTTATGAATGAACATATTAGTGCTCATAATTTCCCTCTAGAACTAAGACAAATTTCAACCAAACTTTTGTCTTTGTGGTACGACCTCTTTTTTTTTGTTCACAGATGTCTTTTTTGAGCATGTGCCAGCTAAAGAGGCAAAATTGATACTGTTTCTTTGGAACATAAAATTTGATTTGCCTTTATGCATCCTTTTCAGACTCCAATGAAGAAGCAAAATTCTGAGAAAAACAACAGAGTCAATGTTCAAGTGGCAAATTACAGATGCAGTAGCATGGCTTCACTGGAAAACAAACTTTCAAAGGAACAACAAATGGAAGAGGCCAAGGGACATCTACCAGTCACGACCAATGTGGTAGACTTGGGAGGTGAATGCTTGAAGCCCCAAGCATTAACCAGAAGCAGGTCGGCAAGGCGATCGCGAGACCTGGACCTCAATCCTGAAACTTTATTGAATCCAACTCCATCATATACCGCACTATTGCTGGAAGACATTCAAAATTTTCACCAGAAGAACACTCCTCCTTCCTTTTCACTCCCAGCTTGTGTCACCAAGGCCTGCTCCATTCTTGAAGCGGTCGCAGACCTCAATTCCACTACAAGCTCCAACCTGTCATGTGCTTTCTCTGATGATAGAATAAGCCCCCCTGCAGTGGCTGCTGTGAATCTTGTTGGGAAGAAACTACCCGAGGCAAAAGACCCATTTGTAGAATCTGAGGTAATTGCAAGTGATGATCTTATGGAGCCAAGCTTTCACAAGTATGTAACCGTGAGAAGAGGAGGGGGTACATTGTGCGGGGAAGACATGGATGGTCAAGAATCCTCAGGAAGTAACAGTTTTGTTGGTGGCAGCCATCAGCATTTAGGATTGTCTACCTCTTCATGGGAACCCAATTCAGCTGATTCAACCGATCGCTGGTCTTCAAGATCCAACACGAGAGATGAGGATGACAAGAGTCCTCTGGGATATCAAAAGCATGGATTACCTGAAACAGGGCGTGACGTGGAACAGGCCAGGAGAGCATTCAGTGGACAAAGGACTGGAATTGGACGTGGGAGACATGGTACAAGTAAAAATGCTCACACAACTCCTGTCCTTGCAACTGCTACTCAAACATAATCCACTCAGTTGTGTTGTTTTCAAATTCCACGCAGTTGTGGCCCCTTTTAACTTTCAGTCTCAAAGGTCACTTCGTTGATGGTTGCAAACTTGCAACCTGTTTTCTTGTTAATTCAAATAGATTCATTCTTCCCTTGTTCAACAAGAGTTGGATGCCAGTCTGGGATAATTAGGGAAGAAACTCCCTTTTATTCATATGCTGAAATCACAAGCATCACTGCATATAGAGCTAAATTCTGAACAGTTTCATTAAAAAAAAATATATGAACATCATGAATAGTATATATTTACACAAAAAAGAGCTAAATTCTGAATAGTTTCAGTTAAATATGAACACCATGAATAGTATAGAGCTAAATTTTGAATAGCTTCAGTTAAAATATATATATATATGAACATCATAAATAATATTTATGTTGGTTATACAGAAGTGAAAGCTGTCTTGTATTTCTTAAAATACAAAAGATTGTATCTTTATTGAATATCAAGGCATTTATTTATTTAATAGGAATGAAACTAAATCGCAAGAAAATCTGCTTGCATATCAAATCTTTCTGTTAAACCGGTCATAGCCATAAAAACAGCAACAAATTATAAACTAATTCTGCTTCTTGAGTATTCTTTCCCTTGACTCTGAAGCTGAAGCTGCGAACTCTCAATTTCTAACCTGAACTTAGAAAGTGCTTTTGTTAGGATGTCTGCACTTTGTTCTTCAGTTTTGCTGTAAAACAACTTCACTTCTCCTTCCTTTTGAACTTCTCTCGGAAAGAAAAACTTAATTTTGAAGTGTTTTGTTTTGCCATGAAACACCGGATGATTAGAAATTAATATTGCAGTTTGGTTGTCCATAAATAACCGTGTGCTTTCTTGTTGTTCCAAATACAAATCTGCCATGAGCTTGGTAACCAAAGTACTTGGTTTGCAGTAACAGCAACTGCATATTCTGCTTCTACTATAGATTGAGCTGTGATTTCTTATTTCTTTTAACACCATGAAAAAACTTTAGAACCAAAATTGAAACAATAACTAATACTTTCTACCCAATTATTATCAAAATAGTTATAAAGATTGGGTTTTTCAATATGAATTAATCTTATTCCATAATCAATTGTCTTTTATATATTTAAGGATTTTTTTTGCTGTTTGAAAAAGAATTTCACTAGCAGATAATATATATCTAGATATCAAACTTATAACATGCATGAGATCTGATCTGGTTATTGTTAAATAAATTAGGCAACCTGTTAGGTTTATATACAACCTTTTATCCATATTTTCAGCTCCATCTTCATTATAAAACTTTTCATTTTAATTTATTGGAGTTGCAATAGACTTGTACCTTTTCATGTTAAATTTCTTGAGAATTTCCTTTGTATATCTATATTGACATAGAAATATCTCATTTTGTTTTTGAAATATCTACAAGCCAAGAAAGAATACTATTCTTCCAAGGTTTGTCATTTCAAAGACAATCTTTATCTCTCCTTTGAACTTATAAATCAACTCTTTATTGCTTTATATGATAAGTAAATTATCAACATATAAAGATACAATAAGTAACTATCAACTTTTTTGATATATATAGTAGATTCAATTAGACTTCTTTTAAAGTTTAAGTGTAAAACCCAAACTTTTGGTTCAAATCTAAACTCAAGTCAGCCCAAACCCAGCCTAAATTAACCTAAGTATTTAAGGAAGGGTTGCAAGAGAATTTCTTTCCTTTCTTCTAATTCTTATAGCCACCATGACTCTCCTCTCCTCAAATCAAAGAGTTTAGTTTTTGATCTTGAGTTTTTGGTTCGAGAAAGGTGGAAGTTTATCATCTATATTATTCTTTCATTCTTGAACTTTAAGTTGTTTATCATCCTTTCAATTCTAGCTATTAGACTAAAAAAATTGAATATCTCAGCTGATGATTATTTTATTCCTTTACGGTAAGAAAATCCTTAAAGCTTTTGAAATAGAATTGCAAGCTATAAAAATTTCTTTAACAACTTGTTATCATAAAACAAGCACATTGTCATTTCCATCATTATCTTATTTTCTCTCTCCATAACTCTATTATGACGTGAGGCATATGGTGATGTTAATTGATGTTCAATGCTTACATCCTCATAAAACCCGTTAAACCTTTTAGTAGTATATTCAATTCCATTATTGGATATGATCACTTGAATTTTGTAGTTATGTTATGTTTCAATCCAAGCTTTGAACTTTCCAAATACATTAACAATCTCACCTTTGAATTTCATAAAATAAATCCATCACATTCTAGAATAATTATCAATAAAGAAAATATAATACTTACTTCCATTTAGAGATGACATGTTCATTGGTTCTCCAACATTTATGTGTATCAATTACAACTCTTGTGTGGTTTTTTAGGCCTTACTTTGTTGAAAAGAAAACCTTGATAGTTTTTCATATTGACAAACATCATAAGAGAATTCTTTTTTCAATTTAAGCAAACCTTTCACCATATTGTTCTTCTTCATGAAAAGCAAAGCTTTATGATGACAATACCTAAATATTTTATGTCAAAGAACCGAATTAATACCTAATTTGTGTATAACAATATGCTTGTTATTCATAAAACCTAAGACAAAACTATTGCCTTTTATTTGAATTTTGAATACCTCTATGCCTTTTGCATCTTTTATTACACAATTATTGTTTTTAAACAACACCTTATAATCTCTGATAAATACCTGAGAAACACTTAACAAGTTCTAATTGGTTTCAAGAACACATAGTACATCTACAATTAATTTTAAATTTGAGTATCCTTTAATAACTAATGTTTATTTGCCTTCGTGTGCTCCATTTTCAATTTTAATTTTAGAAATAATAATTTTTTTAAGCTCTTTAAAGAGTTTTTGATCATTAATTATATGGTTTGTACAACCACTATCTATAAGTCATCTTTCTGTGAAGTTGCTAGTGGTTAAGCATAATACTACAAACAACTGCTCCTTTAGATAATGATCCTCGTCCATCTTAGTTTTTTTTTGTTGTTGTTGAGTCTTGCATATCTTTTTCATGTACTTTAATTAATCGCACTTAAAACATCGTGCATCAGGCCTCCACCAACACTTTTTTCTGTGGATGATTTTTTTTTTCTTTTTACAATAAGGGCAAAGAGGAAAGTCTTGAGCATTACTTCTTTTGCTATTTTCTGATGTTGAATGCAGAACCTAGGAGTAGTTATTTCTGGTTTGGTTTGGTTTTTATAAAAAAAAGTAACCAAACTAATTTTTTTGCAAAAAATAAAAACCGATTCAAACCTACTTGAATTAGGTTTGGTTATTTTAAAATAAAAACTATTTTTTCTGGTTTGGCTCAAGTTTTTTGAGTTTTAAACCAATTTCGGTTCAGCTTGGTTATTTTGGTTTCAGGCGTATAAAGCTGAAATTAAACCGAGCCGATTGTTTTTTTTTTAATTCTAATAAGTTTAATCGATTTTTTTCACAGTTTGGTTTTTTCAATCATTTTTTTCTTAATTTTCTCGATTTAATCAGTTTTTTGATTTTTTAACTCATCCCTAACCTCCATACTTATTGTTCTGCTTTGTTTTCTTGTTTTTGCCCATGTTTGTTTTAAGATTTGGCTAAGAAAGCACCCTTCATGTATTCTTTTTGCCTAATAAGCCTTATTTGTTATGATGCCTGTAGTTCATTCAACAATTCTACCAAGATAATATTTGACAAATCTTTTAAGTTTTTTAAAGATAAAATTATAGTCTTAAACTTTTTAGAAATTGTTACTAATAAACAATTCCAGAATCAGAAAAATCAATGCTAAAAATCTTATATTGTTGACAATGCTAAGAAGTCTGTCAAAATATTCCTTGGTTGTTTCTTATTCTTTTATCTTTGGCATCTCAAATTCTCTAATCAAATTCAGAACTTGCATTGCTATGATCCTCTCATTTTCTTCATATTCTTGCTTCAAAAAATATCAAATTTCCTTAGTTGTTTTCAGAGTCATTATTTTATTAAAAATGATAATAAGATTGCTGCATATAAAATTGCTCTTTCTTTTGATCTTCAATTGGATTGGATTGTCTGGCATGGTGGAACTTCATTTACTTGTTCAACTGCTTCCCACAAATCATTAGCATTAAGATAGACTTCCATTCTAATAGCTCATACCTGATAACTTACTCCATCAAACACTTTCATTCTAATAGTTCATACCTGGTAATTTATCCTATCAAAGAGGTGTAATTGCAGTAAATGACTTAGTGTTATGTGATGTTTAGAGATTGTGTGTGATGGCTCTCTTAATCTTACAAGTCTTAAATATTGGATATATATTGTTAGATGATACATGTTTAGAGATTCTGTGTTGGCTTTCTTAATCAAACAAGTCTTGAATATTAGATATATATTGTTAGGTGATACATGTTTAGAGATTGTGTGTTGGCCCTCTTAATCTTACAAGTTCTCTAAGATAATCTGCTCTGATATCAATTTATTCGTTACATAAAAAAGAGAAAGCAGGCCTTGTATTTCTAAAAATGCAGAATATTATATCTTTATTGAATATTAAAGCATTTATTTATACAATATGAATAAAACTTAATTGCAAGAATTTTTTTTTTTGTTACATGCAAGAAAGAACTGGTCATAGCCATAAAAATAACAATAAATAAAAAACTAATTCTGCTTCATGAGTCATGCTAACAATATATCTACCTCAGAGACCTCACTTAAGAAATATATGAACATCATAAATAAAGCATATTCTGAACCTTTTCCCATGTTAAAAAATTATAACATGGCAACAATAATTATTTACAACGCCCAGGAAGATGACGCCATCAGTTTTCGTGTACCTACCAAAAGCAGCAGACCAGTTTACCTGGTATGAAACTGATTAACCGTCATGATGGCAGTTAGTTCTTGAAGTTTGGAACCCAACAAGTGCAACCAGAACAGTTTGCCTGATACAAGATACCTAAAACAGTCACTTAGCCTCGAGAATTGAGAGAGCTTCCAGCATTCACAGCACATCTTGAAAGCCATCAACTTTCCTTATAAACTTGATTATTGAACTTCCTTCCAGATACATTCTTAATACAAGGGTAGAGTCAACATGATCAAAATTAATTGGTCTTATTCTCTGTCTGCATCTTATATAGCCCCTCACTCTCACTAATACATCACTCATTACTGTTCCGATAATTAACCATGTATATTGCAACCACAGTAACAATGGCCCCAGCCAGTTGCAAGGGTGAGAAAGTTTCCCCAAGATATAGAAACCTGGGGTTGGAAATCAAACATGAAGAAACAAATCAGACAAACACTATGATATATAATGCATCATACATCAGTACTTGGCCCTAGCTGCTACCCAGCTCATCTTTTGTGTGTTATTCTTTTCCATATGGATTTAGTCCAGGCAGTGTAATAAAGTTTCTCATCCATATCTTATGTTTGCAGATCTTTCTGTCTAAAATTGTTTTGTGCAAACAAGTTAGCCCAGTTAATTTAATCAAGTTATATCTCCATTTCTTATGTTTTTCTGATTGATGGAACTTACCCAAAAATTGAAGCAAACATTGGGGTTAGGAATGTGAGGGAACTGAGCTTTGTCAAGCTACCTGAAAAGCATCAGCGAAGGTAGATTAGTTCAGGAAAGGATTCTCAAGTAACCCTGGACAGATTCAAAGAAATTATGCAAACTAAAGTTTAAAAAATACAAAATAGATAATTTGAACCATGGATCATATGGACAACTTAGTTTTAATCAACAAAATGAAACATTGTAACCGACCAAAATGAAAAATTAAGTAGACTTCAACCTTTTGTTGCACTGTAGAAGTACACTCCATAACTAATGGCACTTCCAAAAATAGAGGTATAAAGCAGTGCCAATATATCACTTGCTGTCAGGTCCTTGAGACTCAAACTGAAGGCAAGATCATGGTTGAGAACAGAGATCGCAAGAAGAGGGAGACCCCCGATAACCATATGCTGCAAGAATAGTTTCATGTGAGTTAGTCTGTCAATCTCCATTCCTTTTGCTTTGAGTTCATCACAAAGCCAAAGTGAAGAAGCGGGACATCCTACAGCATTTGAAAGTGCAACAACTTAATTACTTGAAGATCCATCACATCCAAGTTACAATAATGGGCAATTTTATTATCACAATACAAACAGAGCCCAGTACCCAAGCAATTCAGGAATAAAACTATCATATCCTATCTTCTTGCAGGTGAGAAAGCATCGCTCTTCTTGAATGTACTGTCTATTAAGATATTAGGAACCAAGAAAAAGTGGTCATCTTTTGCTTGGAGCATATGGAATAGACCTTTCGATTTATGTGGTCAACAGTGATTAATCTTAGGAAAGATATAAAAACTGGCATGGCTTAATTTAGTGTGTTTTACGAAGGGCAATCACCGTATTATTCTCTGAAGGCATTTTTGTTTGTAATGATGAGCTGGCAGAAGAATCACATGAATTTTAAGAAATTCTGGAATTCTCAATAATCAATCTCTTTTCTAGCAGTTATGATAGACAAAATTGACGCTAAGCTCCCTCATGCTACCCTTCATCATGGAGCCTTTTCCAAGTTGTGTCCTTAGCTTATATTCAACAGGACTGTAAGGTTATTTGTTTATATTCTGTATTGCAAATGATGTGTTGAGCTGTCTATTCTCTCTCTCTCTCTCTCTCTCTCACACACACACACACACACACACACACACACACGCATTGAAATTTTCTTCCTTTAATGGAGAAAAATTGTCCATGGAATAAGCAGATAAAATATAGAAAAAGAAAAGGACTAACTTGCAATTATCCATGTTAATTATCAAATCATGGCACAAATGACAGGCAACTTGCTGAGAGATTCAAGATAACATACCCATCCAGTTGCCATAACAGGATCGGAGTACTTTGAAACCCATCGAACCATGACCGTGCCAACTGCCATGCTCTGAGCAGCAAGAAGCATCCACCATTCTCCACTTCCCCACAGGGAAAAATTGCTTTCATCAAATGTCAGAGTAGGTACCTATTAAATATAATGTAAATAGGTTTTGGAAAATCATATTTGCTATGTCTCATATAGGAAATCATATTTGCTATATCTCAATAAAAGAATGTAGCAAAAAAAATACTTGTAATGCATCAGATGACTGACAGCATAGTTAAACAGCAAAGGGAAGTGACAAGTGGTGATTTGAGATGGTAATAATGACACAACTTTTGTTGATGATGTGGTTAGGGGGGCTTACTAGGGTGGAACATTCAAGTAATGTCATCCGCGATAACTAGATTAAACAAAACAAACTGAACAATAGGGTAAAATATTAACTCAACCTCAACTAGCCTTGATCCCAAGCAAGTTGAGTTCAATTATGTGAATCATTTTCCTCTATCCAGTTGTGTTAGGAGTTAAACAATTTGTCAACTGTTGTAAGATTACCAATAAAACATTTACCAACTTAGATTATCCATTTTCTTGTTTACCTCTCCCTTTCCTTGCCAATACTACCTCAATCCAACTAACCATCCAAACCATCTTATGCTACACTTCCTTTTTTTTTTTCTTTTGATGAGTGTCTCCCACATCTTCCCACACACACACACTCATTTCTTATTTGGTTCTTTCCTATGTTTCCTCACATCTATCTTAATATTCTTGTCTCACTATGCTCATTTAGTTAACATTGCTGCCTTTTCACAGCCAAACAGTTGCTCACATAAAGAATGGCTGGACTGATTGAGTAATTTAAATTTATCCTTCAATCACGTAGCACTCTACCTGCACCGCTCCATTTCAAAACACCTTGACTTGACTCTATGGGTAAAAAATCCATTGATGTTCTCTTCCTTTCATATTACAAAATGTGAATCTTTTAAAATATTCAACTGCTAGATCTACTCCATCCAAACTTACAACTCCTTCTTCTACAGAAGAAATTCTAAAGCTGCAAATGATAACTTTTCATTTTGGTCCTGCTCAGCCTGAAGCTTTCAGACTCTTGGCAGTCCATAGATTTACTTCAAGTTTTCCCAACTCTAGCTGCAGCTGATTTAACCAATCCCAACTCTAGAATAACATCTTCAATATTTTTTATTAGCTCACCAGTGACCATAATAAAAGAAGAAAGAAGAAAGGAATGAGAGACTCAAAACTGATACTTGGTGTCATACCCAACAATCCTCACTTCTCAACCATGCCTCCATAAACTAAAAACAAAACGTTGTTACATACATACTAATAGCACATCATAGTAAACGAATGCCTAACAAACATCTGTAAGAACCAACAAGAACATATCCGTGACATTTGAAACTTCATTCCTCTTCTTAGAAAATTCCTCAACAAGTACATACAAGTTAGGTAACTTGCATCAACGTTAGCAGAAGTGAAGTGTTTACCTCAAGAAGTAAAAGGCCTATGACACCAAGCACAAGGCCTGAAGCTCCAACGATCCCAATGGCCTCACCAAATAACAATTTAGCAAGTATAGCCACTGTCAGGGGTTGCGAGTCGATTATGACCTGCAGTATGAAAAAGAAAAAAAATCCACAAATGACACTCCTTTTGTTCTGAAGCATGAAGTATGAAATGCATTGAAGAAATGAACTTCGATTATTTGCAGCAAAAAAAAAAAAAAAACGATTTCTTATTTTTGAAAGATGAAATATTTTCTTATATTAGAACAATGTTCCTCTTTGGGAATTCAATTCAATAAAAACATTTTGAGTGATCAAAATTGTAAAAATTCTTGCAAATTGAAATATGAAACAAAAAGAGGTTAATCAAATAACAAGGCAAAATAGAAAAGAAACGTACACTACCCAAACCAGCAGAAGTCCTCTGCAATCCTTGAGCAAGAAAACCCTGTTGCAGTTACAATCAATTACGTAATTATTAAGAAAGAAATAATGAATGAAAGAGGATTCGTGAGTGAAGACCTGAAAACAGGAGGCATCAACAAGGGCAAAGAGAGTGATGGTGAGCCAAGCAGTGAGTCCAGAAGGCAGAGGCCTCCCTTTGAATCCAGCAAAGGCAACCAAAAGCAAGCCAGCTGGAATGAGGCGAAAGGAAGAGACAAAGAAAGGGCCAGTGAGGGGCAAAACCTCCTTCATTGCCACCATAGACGTGCCCCAGAAGAAGAAGGGAGAGACCAGCACTGCAGTCTCCGTTATCGTTTCAATTAAGCTTTCGGTTGCTGTTTCTCCTTTTTCTGTTGACGACAATTGGATGAGTGGAGCGTCGAGTTTGGGTTCGGATACGAGGCACTCCGAGTCAAGGCCTGTCCCCACGCAATCAAGATCACCACCATCATCTACAGGTTGTGATGATGATGATTCGAATTCCAATTCAGCCTTTCTACTACTGCTTGTGGAGCACTTGGAAATGAAGTTGGCCCGTCTGCTTCTGCTTCTTTGACAAGTAGTAGTAGTAGAAGAAGAAGAAGAAGGTGAGAATGGAAAACTGATAGCATGGTTTGGAGACGCACGCTGTGAAAGATGAGGAAATTTAAGGGGATAATCATAAGAGAAATGAGGATGAGATAAGGAAAGAGAAGCAGAGGCAGAGGCAGAGGCAGTAGGGAGGAGGATAGAGCAGTTGGTCAAAGAAGATGCAGAAAACAAGCTCAAGCTTCCCTCCATCTCCTTCCTAAATCCAAATCCTCCCTCACAGATACTATCGCTGCTTCAGTAGAGAAGACTAGAAAGCGAGGCAGCCGGTGATGAACTAAGCGCCTACACGTGATATTGAGGCCTCTAATAAGTGGATTATCTGACAACTTCGGCCCGATTTCTCCTAGCCCTCACCATCCATCTATAGAAATCATGCAAATAAGCTCCAGGCCCATTAAAAAGCCCAATTTCAAAAATGGCTCCCCTTCTATCGCGAGCAACGAGCTTCAAGCCCATAAATCATCCCAAAAGCCAAAAACAAAAAAAAAAAACTAACCAAGCAGCTGACTTGTATATTATAATACTAAATTAATTAAGATCAGAAATTGGAGCATGAATTCTGGAGATAAATTTTGGTAGGAATTGGAAACAAAGGCAGATACATAAACAGAGAGATGGATCCAATGTCGAAAACCAGCCTATGAATATATACCTCAAATGGCAGTAAAGCTACCCTCCCCCATAATATCTCGTGTGTGTTCGAGTCTCTCTTCTGTAATAGAAAAAAGAAGAAGAAGAAATTAAGACCACATGACGAGAATTATTCCAGTAATGCTTCAACTCCTGCAATGAATTCAGAGAGGAGAACTTCATAGCGAAAGTGGACTACTAATTGCACATGACCAAGAAACACAAAAAGTGGCGCAGATGCCTTTGTCGGCACGCACTTCGCAACGATCATAACAATTGTTAAGCAAAACTAAAAGGAATCTGATGATCAATCGATCTATTTTCAATTTAAAAAATGGATTTGATTAATTGCTAGCCTATCAATTTTGTCCATTATAATTAACCGAGATGCTCATCCACATCATGCTATGCAATGTATTCATCGATCTAGCTGTAAATTGACTAGGCTTTCTCTTTGACTCTACGTCGCTTCAGGTCTGATCTGGTAATTAACTAGCTGCTAGAATATCATAAACGTAATCAGCACAGTACTAGAGTGTGTCAACCATGACCACCATCACTTCAGTTTTGTCCCTCTTGTTCTTTCTTTACTTTCTTATTGCCAAGTCTCATGCAGACAACATTGGAGCTGCCACACCACCACCACTATCGACGGTGTCACCTCCAGATGGTTCTGTGGAATTCCCCGAGTCAGTCTACTGCAATCAGTTTAATTCAAAATGCTTTGGCCAAATCATTTCCTGCCCCTCCCAGTGCCCTACATTCAAGCCCTATGATCCCAAGAATAAAGGCTGTTTTGCAGATTGTAATTCCAAAAAATGTGAAGCCATTTGCAGAAGCAAGTACTTAATATATTCCTAATCCTAGCTAGCTTTATTTGGTCATATATATTTTAATTAATTTCTCATGACTTCACTCGCTAAAGTAATGAGCATTCATCAATTTATACTATAGTTCTTAACTTAATTTGTTACATATTAAAATATTTATAGTGTATATTGTTGCAGCTCGCAGGCCAAACTGTAATGGTATAGGTGCAGCCTGTTATGATCCAAGGTTTGTTGGAGGAGATGGTGTCATGTTCTACTTCCACGGAAAGACAAACGAGCATTTTAGCTTGGTATCTGACTCTAATCTTCAAATAAATGCTCGATTCATTGGAAGCCGACCTTCTGGAAGATCCCGTGACAACACATGGATTCAAGCCTTAGGTCTCATGTTCGACTCTCACTCGTTCACTCTAGCAGCGAACAAGGTGGCACAATGGGACGACCAAGTCGACCAACTCCTCTTCACCTATGATGGCACACCATTCAACATTCCTCAAGGTCACCTCTCTACTTGGACTAGCCCTGACCTAAATAATATTGTGGTGGAGAGGACAGCAAAGTACAATAGCGTTGCAGTTACATTGCTCAATGTTGTTGAGATATCTGTGAAAATTGTTCCCATAACCAAGGAAGACGACCGCATACACAAGTATGAAATACCATCCGATGATTGTTTTACACATTTGGAGGTGCAACTCAAGTTTTTCAATCTGTCAGAGAAGGTGGAAGGTGTCTTAGGGCAGACGTATCGTCCTGATTTCGAGAATCCAGTGAAGAGAGGGGTTCCAATGCCAATCATGGGCGGGGAGAACAAGTACAAGACCTCTTCTCTTGTATCAGCAGATTGTAACTTGTGCATTTTCTCACCATCCTCGAAACCTCAATATGCAGCTAAACTATTGGCATTGAATACCGATTCCACTTTGGATTGCACTAGCAACACAGGTAATGGCCATGGATCAGTGGTTTTTTGTCGCCGGTAGAGTCTAGGGCTCATCCATTAGCTGATTATGTATGTGCTGCGATTTGAGCTGTTTTTCTGAATGCATGGTGGTAATTTGCTACCATCTTTTTAAATAGCGTTAAATATTAAAAAAAGATATTAAAAGTTTTTTTAAAATACACATAAATCATTGAAGCATAATAAAATGAAACTCACTTGCAAGTCCCTGAAATAATTCATGTGCATTCTTAAGAAAACAAAAATCATTATCGCATCCTTTTCTAATGCTTAACATCAGTATCTTAGAATAAAATTAGCATATATACGAGCCAAGATGCACGCATTCATAATTAATTACTTGGAATACCAATCAGGGGGGAGGCCAAGATAAAATATATAAATAAATAAGACTCAAGGGCTGAGATGAAAATAGGCTCGTATAAACAAGGATCAAAAGCAAGGTTTTTTTTTCCCCCCCTTCTTGGATGCTGAATGCATAGCTATAATATTGAAATGTCTTTGAAACAAAGGACCATGCACGTAGTTCTGCCCCTGATATCGATTGACATTCCGAGTATGAAATGAGATCAATGTGACGGAAGGCATGAGAGATCGATGATGGAGGCATGTTCTTCGGAATGATAATTAGTCAACAAGGTTTAATTACGTGTATTATAAAAAAAACAATATCATCATCAGATTACCTAATATGCAAAAGTAACAAGAAACCTGCAGGACGTAGTCTTTGTTTTGAATATTGACTAATTAATTACGCGGAAATATAATCTTTCCATGACCAGTGAATGGAAGTTTCCACTTGAAATGGATCCTAGCATGCTGGCCCAGTCCGGAAGCATCATCTGCAATCGCATGTGATACCTCCTGGATTGATGATTAATTTCACTCGTTTGTATTAGACAAATATATGTCTCCCACCACAATATTTATACATTAATTAATTAATCCTCAAATAATATGTGATCTGATCTATCTTTCCTAATTTAATTAATTATGGTTTAGGGTTTAGGTCTTCGATATTCTATTGTAATCAAGCACTGTGTACAATGAATATATATATGTTTGAGTCATTGAGTGTGAAGTTTCTTTTGTTGATTTGCGATGCCATTCTTTTTTAACTACAGAAAGAGGATAACGCAAAGTCTCTCTCTCTCTCTCTCTCTATATATATATATATATATATATATATATATATATGTCCACAAGGAGCCACTTTGTGGTTATTATTGTTGTCTCTATTCTATTAAAAAAAAAAGAAAGAAAGAAAGAAAGAAAGAGGAAATTAGCTTTTGTGATGTGTGTGAATGAATGATTCGGTATGATCTTAATAAATGAAGGTTCCAATATAATTCAAACGAAAAAAAAAAAAGTCAGGAAAGACTCAAACAACACGCTGTTGAATTCTGGATACAAAAAGAAAGAAGACTTGTCAGGCATGTGATCAGTGCTCATCTCCTGACCCCAAGAAAAATTAACCTGCGGCTTGAACATTAATTAACAGGGGCTTACTAATTTGCCCTGACCTCTCTACCAAAATAAAGTCAAAGAAGGCAGCTTCAATGTTAACCAAATATCTAACTAACATGTTCTCTATATCTACCTTCCAAATCTGTGAACAATCCACCCATCGATCCATAGACCGACCGATAGTATGGCAGATCATCAGAAAGTTCATCCTCTCAATACGAGTAGCACCCATGACGATCAACCATTAGATGTCGAGGCTCCCAGGGTTCCATTAGTGCCCCGGGGATCCTCCAAGTCTGATAAAGGGGATCCAGCTGCACATATTCATGACCACCATTATCCCCCTTTTCAGCGTACAATTCCGGTCACTCACACCAAACCACCCAAGAAGAGAAGAAGCTGTTGTTGCAGATTCTTGTGCTGGACGCTCTCTCTTCTCTTGCTCCTCATTCTTGTCATTGGAGCTGTTGCTGGAATTCTGTACCTTGTCTTTCAACCCAAACTCCCCAAGTTCTCCATCGACGCGTTGCAAATTACCCGATTCAATCTCACTAACAATTCCAGCTTATCTGCCACCTTCAATGTCACCATCACTGCTAGGAATCCTAACAAGAAAGTGGGCGTCTACTACGAGGGTGGGAGCCATATAAGCGTGTGGTACACAGGCACAAATCTATGTCAAGGGTCGTTACCAAAATTCTACCAGGGTCACAGGAACACCACCGTGCTTAGTGTGTTATTATCAGGACAAACAGATGATGGCAATACATTGCTCACTTCATTGCAACAGCAACAACAGCAGACTGGAATCATTCCTTTGAACCTCAGGGTGGAGCAGCCTGTGAGAGTCAAGCTTGGCAAGCTGAAGCTCATGAAGGTGAAGTTCAGGGTCAGATGCAGGCTAGATATCGACAGCTTAGCTCCCAATAGCGCCATTAATATTAGAAATAGTAGCTGTAAGTTTAAATTTAGGCTATAAATTAATTAACTTTATTATTTCATATTTATATTATCTTTTGATCGTGTATCATGCCCGTATATATGGGCCATTGATCAAACAGCAGGATTTTTCCTAGCTAATTTCCCTGCTTCTCGTTAAAGGCCGGAGAATTATATTTTTATATGATTTTTCTCTCCATGTCTTTATATCGCTATGTATTATTCCGAGTGCTGTATTTAATCTTAATATACCAGATTTTTACATTAATTTGTAGTTTAATACTGTCCAACTTAAGTTTTTTTTTCAATTATTTTTTTCTCACTTAAATTTGAGAAGCACCTTAATTAAATTTTACCATCTGATGGTTAATAAAAATAATGATATACATAATTAATTGAAAAAAAAATCTAAATTCAATGCCAATGCAATGAGAAATGGGAACGCATATATATAGTTAAGTTATGGCTGGTGAAATCATAGACTACCATAGTATATATATTAATAATGAGAATGATCTTGATCTTTTTCAATATCTCTCAATTTAAAAAAAAAAGGATTTGAATTGATAACTTCTGATTGATAGGATCATTTTCTTATGTTTTGTAATTAAATAAAGGAATTTAATTATAAAATGAATTGTTATTTACAACTAGATTCTAAATAATTTGAAAATTGGTTTTTCATTAATTATATATGTCTTAGAATGAATAATTTCAACTTTATGAAAAAAAAGAGATATTTACTTATCACACAAAAATGATGTGATATGATTTTTTTTCCTAATATTTTATGGTATTGGGCTTTAATTTAACTCATTTATCTATATAACTGTTAATATTTGAGTGCCCCCCCAAATTAGTGTCTAAAATGGATATATTTCTAACCTTATATATCAAAATAAGGTGTTTTTTTTTGTCACACAAGCATTAATTAAAGTAGTTATTAATTACGATAATGCAAAAAAATAATTTTTGTTGTGTTTAAGAAATTTATACAAAAATACATTTATAAAACTTTCAATATTTACGTTTTGTATATTAAAAAACATTCAAAAACATGTTAGGACATTGACTATATACAACACACAAAAATTTTTTTTTTTTTATATGTTCTTTGTCAAAAACACAAACATTACATTTAATCACAATTAAAGTAAAAAAAACAAACATATTAGTTAAATTCTTAAAGTTTTAATAAATCAGTTATTAAATTCCAAAAAGTATGTAAAAACATGTTTTTATATTTTTACGAAAAATATAATATAATTTTACTTGTCCTTCATATACTTAATCATACACAAAATAAGCATTAATTAAAGTAGTTATTAACATAGAAAAGTTATTGCTTAACCTAGCAAATATGAGATTCTGTCTAATCTCTGCACCTTATTTGGTATACAAGAATAAATAAAGGTAAAAGGAGAATTTCTTAGTAACACTATTTTATTTTTAAAAAATAATTTTTACAAATTTCTATACCCATGCACTTCAAATATATATATACTTGAATCTCTTTTCTTCTTTGTGTGTGTGTATATAAATAAAATTCATTGACCCATGCATGGACCATACAAGAAATATAGGCCTTTCAAAAAATGTTTGTTACATTCAAGAGATTGGAAAGTAAACAAGATTTTGGACATTAATCATTAAATAAGAGCGCTTGAAAACATTAAACACTAAATTTAAATTCAACAAATCAAAATCAATATGTATATTGATTATTGAAAAAATATGTGTTCTTTTAGAATGTATATGAACTAAATGATTGAAGATACAATATATATGATCACTGTAATAAAATTTTATGAAAATACCATAAAAACTATACAAAACACAAATAATAAATTTAAATTAAAAAAATCTAAAAAACCAATCATAATAATTACTCAAACAATTGTGTATCATATGATTAATATAATAAAATATCACCAAATTTTCAGGAAATATTATCACTTTATTTTTCTACAAGAATCATATATTAGAAAAAAAAAGTATACTTTTTCTAAAATAATAATAATAAAGAAAAAACAAGAATCTCCCATACAACGATGAGACATTAATTAGCTAGTAAATTATAAGAAAGAAAAAAAGAAAAAAAGCAAAACCAAAGAATTTTAAAAAGGAAAAATCATCTAAAATTTGTAGATTCAATGTTTCTAAATATATATTAGATTATTAGAATAATGAGTAATGATATTTAGTTTATCATAACAAGAAATGTTAAATATAAAAACATTTTCAAGAAAAATTTAGTATTCATATAAGTTTAATTTTATAAGTAAGTAAACTAATAACTCATAACAAACAAGTTTTTAAATAAATATAATTTAAAGAGTACTGACATTCATACTAAATATATATTTAATCTTGCAATTAATATAAAATCAAAGTGCATGTTAATAATAAAATTAATTATATTTAAATCAAAACAAGAAAAAAGTATTTACCTGTTGAAATACTTTAAAGTAATGAATGTGTTGTTAGTGTCAAAGATAAATTCTTTATCTTTAAAACTTTATTATTTTTCACTTGTGTAATTAAAATATTTGTAATATATCTCTCAAGATTTCGACAATACTATCTAAATTTAGATATACTTAAAAATAAGGTATTTGAATCAAAGAATATGAGACTCAAATATCTTTCAATGAGATTGATGTAAACCTCTTAATCACATGATTAAACAACATTTAACAAAGTTTAAATACAATTCAAAAAGCCAAAAATCAAGTTTAATAAATCTTTGACCTAAAGTTAACCTTATATCGAAGAACTAAAGGCATTGAAATAAATTTGGACTTAAAGTTAATCACGTACGTAAGAATATAGAGTATGTGAATAACTCCATGAAACTAGTTAATTTTTTATAAGTCGGATGTACGGTCTTTCTCATTGCAATTAAATTATGTTTTACCACAAACAATTAAAAGGAAGAAACTGACATTTATTATCACCAAGTTGCCAAAATTTACAACTTCAAAAAATATTATATAGTCCTCTCAAATTGACCCTAATAAATTCTTTTAAGTTGTAAGTCAATGGGTCATAACTAGAAATCAATTAATATAAGTCCAATAATGAAATAAAACCCTAAACAATATTGCTAGGCTAGAACAAGCCCAAATTAAAAATGTTTTTTCAATATCAAATAAATAATATAGAATAATAAAAAAAAATTTCATGTTTAAATTGTTTAAGGTAGCCAAAATCTTCAAGCTCTTTTGAGTGGTGTTTTGTCCTAAACTCCTAGTATAAGAATTCAATTCTTACTATTATCAACATTTAATTAGCCACCATAAATCATGAATCAAATCTAGAAAAACCAATGGTTCATTGAGATTAATTTCTCATTCATCCATAATCTATTTAAATCATATTAATTAAATCAAATTTCCAATAAAATTAAAATTAATATGCTAATAACATATATTTTGAACATAATTATCATGAAAAAGACATCAAATTCATTTCATAATCCAAAATTTAGTCTTTTATATGGAATCATCAAATCTAAAAAGAAAAAATAACAAGTTTTTATTTATTTTTTACTACGAACTTAGCCTCCACAATCAAATCAAGTAATGCAAAATTTCAAATTATTTTATATTAGTAACCTATAATGACTGAAAATAGCCAATCCACTACAAATCGTTGAAAAGCCAACACTCAATTGTTGGCATGAGTTGTTAATAAAGGATTTTTTGAGAGATTATAAGGATTTTCTTTGATATTTGGTTTCCAATAATTATGAAATATTACTAACATGATCAAAAGATTGATTTCTTCTTCCAAATGTAGGAGTGTCGAAGTAATGAATAACTTGGCAAGACTAGAGTCGAACCATAGGGAGGTTAACTATATAAATTATAAATAATGATGATGATGATGATAATAATGATGAGTTGAAGAGAACTTTAAGATATAAGATTAATGTAAGGATTAAATAAGAATAAAAAATTATCAATATTAGAGGATCCATTAATAGTATTTCAAACAATACAATTAATGATAGGTGCTAATATTTTCACCAATAAATTATTATAAAAACTCTTCACTTAGTATTATGGGTTATCAAAGTTTATAAATATTTTAAGTTATTGGATAAATATTTTTTATATATTTATTAATTTAAATATGACATAGTTTTTCATTTAACAAGGGACTTATTTAAAAAAAAAAACAATTAAGTTTGGACATAAAATCTATATTCAAGTCTACACATCTCATCCCACGAACATAACTTATTTTTTTTAACATGATTTATGCACAGAGCATTGGAAAATAAACTTATAAACACAACTCCAACTATTTTACATAAAACAATTATTACTCAACTGGAAATCACACACAAAAGAGATTTCAATCGAATTATAAATTGTTAACATGATTATATTAGTTATATTATTTGAATAATATTAATACATGTAAATGTTGTCAAGTGTTCATGATTATAATTTATATTAACAAGAAATCAATTTTTTTTCATAACACATGTGTTGGTTATACTATATAGTTGAGCTATGAAAGTGTCAAGTATTTGTTGTATCAAGGGTTATACAACATAAATATAGATTAACCATTTAACAAGCAAAATATTAAGAATGAATACGATAACAAATACAAAATATATTAGTATCAAATATTAAAACCCATGTTGAGTCTATACTGTACTTATTCTTATACCATTAGTGTAACCTTTTCACTTTGATATAATAAACTTAACTAAATATAATAAAAAAGAGAAACATAAATAAGCAAGATAAAGACATAAATAAGATATAAGTTAACCAAGTAAAGAAAAGAAAATGAAATGCATAAATAAGAGATTAAAGAAAGCAAAACTTAAGCATTATAAAAATATAAAGAAAGAGAGCAAAAACATGATTTTGATATGAAAATCAAGATGCCTAAATTGCATGGAAAATGCCTCCCTTTATAGGCCAAAATTCAGAACTATTGACTTGATGACTAATTATTCAATGAGTGACCACCTCTTGACTTTGTGACAATCCTTATCTTCTTGTCTAAATAAAACGTCATTGATAACATTAGAATTTGAGATGTGAGTCGAATAATAAATAGTGTCTAGGCTGCATGACAGATTCACACTTCTTTTTTGATGCTAAAGTTTGGATTTTCAAATGGCAGAATTGAGTCTTAAACTCTTATGAATGTTTTAGGCCTATGTCTTAACTTTCTAGCCATATAAACTAGACTGAAGTCCAATATTTATAGCT